CATTTCCCCTCTACTAGACCCTAAATACACTTGATCTGGGACCCTACACCCTCAACCCTATACCCTAAGCCCTAAACCCCTAAACCCTAAACCCTAAACCCCTAAACCCCTAAACCCTAAACCCTAAAACCCTATACCCCTCTTTGAGGGTACTTGGAGGGTCCCGGAGCTTGAGCAAAGTCTGCGATCACTGCAGCCCGGGAGCCCCAAAACCCAGCAAAAAGGCGGACCCGAGATGTCGGTTTAGGGTTTAGGAGTTTAGGGGTTTAGGGTTTAGGGGTTAGGGGCGTAGGGGTTTAGGGATTTGGGGGTTTAGGGGTTAGGGGTTTAGGGTTTAGGGTTTAGGGGTTTGGGTTTAGGGTTTAGGGGTTAGGGTTTAGGGTTTAGGGTGTAGGGGTTTAGGGGTTAGGGTCTAGGGCATGTGACGGCGATCCTTTTGCCGAGCTGCCAAGATACCATCATCAAACACAACTGGGCCGTACGGTGTCGACACAAAGCTGCGTGGGGCGTAGTCGAAATCAAGAGTGAACCCATGGCTCAAAAGCCAAGCTCTCGAGTGGCGGTGGATCATGTTCGAGTGTGTTCCGATATGCATATGCTGGATATTCCTCAACAGCTGGCTCCGCTGCAGTAGCTCAAGTTCAGCCCCCTGGATATCTACATGCACGAGGTTGATCTTCCCGAAAGCACGCAACAGGGAGTCCAGCAAAGAGGCAGTAGCAAAGGCTTGGTAGGTGGAGACGTTGCATAAACGGAACATATCATTGCGTAGCAGGCCCTGAATGGTCGACGTCGTGTCAACATCGGGCTCGATCAGAACCATGTGGCAGGAACCCCGGGCTGGAGATCTTTTCCGATAGGCTTTCACCGCCATAAGGCCCCAGAAGCCCCTACACGCGCCGGCCTCCACCACCACGAACTCCTCTGTCGCCGCCGTGACGGCCTGAAGCAAGGAGATGGTCTCAAAGTAATCCTCGCCCGGCAAGGGGCCCCAAGGCAGCCGCGCGTCGCGCTCCAGAAAGCGTGTCAGCTCCGTCTGCTGCAGGCAATCGGCATAAGGAAGGGCCTCATGGACCACACCCAGCCAGTCCTCTACCATGCCGGACCTCCCTTTGCTCCGATTCTGGATCTTGAAAATCCCCCTATGTCCCCCATGCTCGTAGATCTTGAATCTCCCTGCATCTCTGCAAGAAGGTGACCATTCTTGAACCACAGGATGGTGTAAGAAGCAGACCTGCGGATCCCAGGGATTGAAAGCCGCACAGACATGGCCAAGGTCCCTGCAGAGAATCGTATGGTCCACCAGCGACTCCAAAATCCTAGCGACGGGCTCCTGGAAGTACTTGAAGTAACTGGAATGCCATCGCTCCTGTTGCAACGACGCAAGGTCGGTGAGATGCATTGGATATCTGGCCTGTATCCAGGCTTCCGAACATGTTCGGTTCTCGCCAGGCTCACGGGAAAGTGCGACGCCCGACAGCATGGCTCTTGCAATGAAACGACCCGAGCACTTTGTCAGCAGCGCCTCCACATCATCGGATGCCTTGGGAAACTCCAGCAGCTGCAAGCAGACATCTCGCATGTAAGCCGGGTCGACGAATTTATCTCCTTGCCTCTCCACCTCCATCATTCGCCCTATGAGCTGCGAGGCTTTGCAACATGCACTTTCCAACCTCCCTTTGAAGCAGTCGTCCTCTTCTTCTGGGCTGGTGAAGCATGTCCACCAGGGACATGAAGCAGGCCCTCGGCCCGCAGCAGAATGAAACATGCTGAGCATGCCCAGGCAAGCAGCAGCCCCTGCGCGAGGTAGGGCCATCGATTCCGGCAGGCGACATTGTGCGACGACACCTGTCGTCAAAGCAACCCTAAAGCCTACACCCCTGAACCCTAAACTCTAAATCGAACCCACAACTGCCTCAAGCAGCCCCCGAAACTTAGATTCAGAGTTACCCATATGAGTTAAGATTTCCGTGTTTGGGGCTTCAGATTTGGAGTTACTGGGATGTCTTCATGGATCTCGCAGACGGGCTAGAGGTTGCGGGCCAAGGCTTTTGGATGTTGAAATAGGCAATCGGTGTCAAAAGAGGCCCCTCGAGTTACCCCTAAGCAAGGAATGCTTGTTGAACTACCGAAAGACCTGAATTTGAGTCATGTAATCCTACTGCTGCCTGAAAGGGCTCCGGATTTCAGCCCGAGTGCTAGCCCAGCCTAAACCCTAAACCC